TTGATGTACAATATGTAATATGTAAATATAATTTAAGGTAGTTATTGAAATTAATATAATGATTCTTCCTTAATTATACTGCAATGAAAAATCAGCAGATATTACTGCGGGTAGGGCGTTCGCCTTACAAGCGGCCAACATGGCCGACCCGAGTTCGATTCCTCCGCCCCTCTCGGAGAGTCCGGCAAGCTACCGAGAGTATTCGATATGCCAGACACAGTAACAACAAAGTCTCCAATGGAGACGTTACTGGGCCCGCTCGAGCAAATCGACGATCAACGGGAGGGCCTTTACCTTTACCTTTATCCAATAATTCATGTGAGAGATAGGAGATATCAAACTAGAACAAGCTATTATCTATCCTACTCCTGGTGAAGCCTAGACTGAGTCCTCCAAAAGAGGTTTTAAGGTACATTAACAATGAATCTAAAAAAAAAAAAAAGAATCTAGGGGGCCAGAGCGATGGTAAAGCAGGTAAAGCTAGAGTAAGCATTGAGTAAAGCCCCATGTGGCAAAATAATTAATTAATTAAATGAATTTAATATTTTGGAGTGTCTTTTTTGAGACTACTGAGAATTCCTTGACAATCAATATATCATATATTATATATCTTTTATCTTGGCACTTTGGAACTACAATCTATATTTGGATCATTGCCTTTAAAAATATCAATTGTTGGGGCTGGAACAATAGCACAGCGGGTAGGGCGTTTGCCTTCCACACAGCCAATCCGGGTTCGATTCCCAGCATCCCATATGGTCCCCCAACACTACCAGGTGTAATTCCTGAGTGCAGAGCCAGGAGTAACTCCTGTGCATCACTGAGTGTGACCCAAAAAGCAAAAAAAAAAAAAAAAAAACTCAATAAAAATATATATTTTTTCGGGGCTGGAGCAATAGCACAGTGGGTAGGGCATTTGCCTTGCACGCGGCCAACCCGGGTTCGATTCCCAGCATCCCATATGGTCCCCTGAGCACCACCAGGGGTGATTCCTGAGTGCAGAGCCAGGAGCAACGCCTGTGCATTGCGGGGTGTGACCCAAAAAGAAAAAAAATATATATATATATTTTTTCAAAAAGTGTAAAGGGGTAGGTTTTTTGCCTTGCCCACAGCTATCCCAGGCTAGATCCCCACATCCCGTATGGTCCCCAGAGCACTGCCAGGAGTGATTACTGAGCGGAGACCCAGAAGTAACCCCTGAGTATTGCCAGGTGTGGCAATAAATACTGTCACTGTCACTGTCCTCCCGTTGTTCATTGATTTTCTCAAGCGGGCCCAGTAACATCTCCATTGTGAGACTTTGTTGTTACTGTGTCTGGCATATCAAATACGTCACGGGGAGCTTGCCAGGCTCTGCCGTGCGGGCCAGATACTCTCGGTAGCTTGCCGGGCTCTCCGAGAGGGGCGGAGGAATCAAACTCGGGTCGGCCATGTTGGCTGCGTGCAAGGCAAACGCCCTACCGCTGTGCTCTCGCTCCAGCGTGGCAATAAATAAATAAATAATAAAACTTCAGAGTAGGAAGGCACAAATTAACAAAATAAGCAGGGCCTGGAGACAGATCAAAGGGTTGGAGGACCATCTTACATGTGTGAGACCCTTAGTTTCATACCCAAAACCACATTGTACCCCCTCCCCACATCATCACTTATGACCCTTGTAACCTCTAATATCACTGAGCTCAGGCAGCATCACATCATGAGCCCAAAGCATTGAACCATCCAGTCCAGCTGGCCTGGTTATCATCCAGAGTGGCTCTATAGCTTCTGAGCACTGCTTGGGGGCTCCGAAAAGCAAATAAATGAAACACCGGTGGTTTATAACACTAAAATGTCAGCCATAACTTGTAATAAACCTTTTTATCTCACTGTGACCCCCTTTCAAATCATCAAAAATATTTCAAAGGCCTTGGGATGCATTAGAGCAGTTAGATTTTGCTGCAGTTCTCCCAGATTTTTTTCCCATTTATTCCATTACCCTAGCCTGGTTCTAAGACAATTTTGTCAGCAGAAGGGTGTGCCCTCTTTAATGCTGCTTTTGGGTTTTTTGAGCATTTTATCTAATATTCTGCAGGGTGCACTCTCCTTAATTAACATCACAGGATATCACTGCAGTGGTCTGGCCTTCACTGATTTATATCACATCTAACTTCTGTCCCAAACTTACTGAATTATGGGCATACTTTTTAGTAATTAACACCACCATTACCATACTTCTCTGCATAATAATCAGAGATTTTATGCCCCTTTTTCAGTGGCCTAAAAAGTGGGGGTATAACCATTATGTAAATGTTTTAATTATAAACCAATTTTGTGGCTGAAAAAACAGGGATGATGATTATGCAGTGGAAACTATTAAGCAGTGAAATATGGGAAATGACTAAGCAACAAGGTCATATGATATTGAAAGATTGGTAATGATGGAATAGAATTAAGAGTCCAGAGACAGATCCTCAGATATATGGAGAATTAATGTAGATAAGGTAAAGGTAAAGGCCCTCCCGTTGATCGTCGATTTGCTCCAGCGGGCCCAGTAACGTCTCCATTGGAGACTTTGTTGTTACTGTGTCTGGCGTATCGAATACTCTCGGCAGCTTGCCGGGCTCTCCGAGAGGGGCGGAGGAATCGAACTCGGGTCGGCCATGTTGGCCGCTTATAAGGCGAATGCCCTACCGCTGTGCTATCGCTCCAGCCCCTAGATAAAAGAGCAAAAAACAGAATGTGGAGCAGTGGTCACATGCAAAAAGAAAAAAAAATTATTTCAGATTTTTTTTTTTTTTTTTGCTTTTTGGGTCACACCCAGTGATGCACAGGGGTTACTCCTGGCTCTTCACTCAGGAATCACTCCTGGCGGTGCTCAGGGGACCATATGGGATGCTGGGGTCGGCTGCATGCAAGGCAAATGTCCTACCCGCTGTGCTATCGCTCCAGCCCCAAGATCCGTTTTTTAACACCATGCACAAAAGTCAAATTAAAATGAATTAAAGGCCTCGATATCAGATCTAAGTCCATAAAATATACTGAGAAAAACATACATAGAATACTATATGACACTGTATCTAGAGGCATCTTCAATGGTCCTATTCGTCAAGCTAACAGAAGCAAAGATAAACAAATGGGACTTACATCAAACTAAGAAGCTTCTGCACCGTGTAACAAATGATGACCAGAATACAAAGTCACCCCACAGACTGAGAGAGAATATTTACCTACCACTCATCTGATAAAGGGTTAATATCCAAGATATAAATAAAGCACTGGTAGAATTTTATCAGACTAAAACAACCAACCCCATCAAAAAGTAGGGGGAAGAAATGAACAGAAACTTCCTCAAAGAAGACACACAAATGGCGAAAAGATACATGAAAATATGCTCTGCAAAACTTCTTGTAAGGGAAAAGCAAATCAAAACAACAATGAGTATTGTCTCACCCCAGTGAGACGGCATACATCACAAAGAGAAAAACCACCAGTGTTGGTGTGGATGTGGGGGAGAAAGGAATCCGCATCCACTGCTGGTGGAAATATGAACTGGTCTAGTCTTTTAAGAAAATAATATGAACACTTCTCAAAAAACTAGGAATAGAGCTCCCACAGGACCCAGCAATTCCATTTCTTGGCATCTACCCTAAGGAACAAAAAAATCTATCAGAGAACACATTTTCACTCCTATGTTCATTGCAGCACCATTCACAATAGCATCTGTAAACAAACCAAGTGTCCAAAAACAGATGACTGGCTAAAGAAACTATGATACATATTATATATGTATAACAACAATGGAATACTACTTGACTATCAGAAAAGATCAAATTAAGCCATCTGCTGCTACATAGATGGGTTTGGAAAGTATCCTGCTGAGTGAAGTTAGTCAGGAGAGGAACAGACACAGAATGACCTCTCTCATATTTGAAACGTAAAGAAACATAGTAGGAGAATAATAAATGCCCAAAGACAACAAAAACTAACAACTGACCTTCAGTAGGAAGCTTAACATGGGGGGGGGGGAAGGGTACAGATATTGGGGAAATAGGATGGAAGCAGAGCTAGAGAGATAGTACAGCGGGTAAGACATTTACTTGCATATGTCCGACCCAGGTTCAATCCCTGGCATCCCATATGGTCCCCTGAGGAGAGGAAGTAAGGAGAAAATGAAGTAGCAAGGGATGAAAGAAGAAAAGAAAGAAAGGAAGACAGACAAATGAACTTTTCTTTGCATTCAACTCAGCTGTCTGGCACAAGAGGCCTAATTTTGGGCCTAGATTAGCTTTTGATCTTCCTCACCTCACCAATCTTAATCATTTCTGAGATTTTTCTTTCCTTTTCTTTTCCTTTTTGGGGGTTGGAGCCACACCTACAGTGCTCAAAGGGTACTCCTGGCTCAGTGCTGGTGGGGCAGAAAGGTGGGTCCCAATGGTACTCAGGAGAACAGACAGTACTGGAGATTAAACATGGGCCTTCCACATGCAAAGCATGCACTCCAGCCCACTGAGCTATCTCCTGAACCATTTAGCTTTAGATTTAAAGTGAGATGTACAACCATTCCTTTCACTTGAACACTTAGAGGTCACCATAGGATTATTCACTGGCTTAATTTCAATACTGTTGTGTCTAATGAATAGGAAAGCTGGAGGAGAGGAAGAGACAGAGGAATGACTGCTAGTTGGAGCAGTAAGAACCAAAATATTTATGGATAAAGTTTGTGATTTTATATTGGCACAGTTTGTGGCACCCCAAAACATATACAGTTCCAAGATCACTGATCACAAATCACCATAATAGTTATCATGATGACGAAAAGGTCTAAAATACTTCAAGAATTAAAGAATTAAAGAATTAAGAGCTCTTAGAAAAATGGCAACTAACAGAGGTACCACAAACCTTCAACTTGTAAAAAATATAGTATCTATAAAGCAAAGTGCAAGCAAGTAAGATATGCCTGTATCCAAAGTAAATATAAACCCAAGTGACAATATCAGAAAAACATTAACTATAAAGCTCACCTCTCCAATGATCTTTGCTGCCTCCTTAGTAATTGCACCTATTACAAATTAAAACAGACAATATATTATCCCCAGAATATAAAGAAGTAAGCAGTAAGACCAATTAGTTTTGTTTTTGTTTTATTTCACTACTGTGGGTTAGATTCTAAACAAGAATTTTAAACAGGGTCCAGAAGACCCTTGAACTAGAGTACAAGCCAGGCATGCTGAAGCCCTGAGTTCAATCCCTGATACTATATCTCCTGGTGGCTGGTGTATCCCTGACAGCCTCTAGCACTGCTGGGCCCAAGCAACACTAAATCACTGATAAAGCACTGACATGTCCAGCCCCAACATCTGGGCCAAGTTGTGCCAGATGTGGCCCCAGACTTCCTGTGACCCCACCCCCACCCCAGCACTGTTCGTGAGGCCCAAAAGAAATTTATTTTTGGGGTAGTGACAATGGGTGTTGGAATATTATATAACTTAAACCCAACCATGAACAACCTTTTAGCTGTGCAACTCACTGCAATTCAATTTTTAAAAATGTTTGTTTAAATTTAATTTTTTAAATGGTCCTTTAGATCCAGAGTGATAGTACAGAGGGAAAAGCACTTACCTTGCACACAGTCAACCCGGGTTCAATCCCTGGCATCCCATATGGTCTCCCAAACACCTCCAGTAGTAATTCCTGAGTGCAGAGCCAGGAATAACCCCTGAGCAACAATGGGTGTGCCCTCCCCCACAAAAAAAAAAAGGCCCAAAGAAACCTGACAGCAATATTATCTGGGATGCTCTACCATCATACTATATTAGAATTGTCATTGGTATATTAATATTAAAAATCACTTGGCTTACTAAAAATGAACTGTACATCCTACTTTCTTCCTTTCCTAATGCCAGCCTACTTACTACCCAAAGAGGGATATATTTTATCTGTAAATTTAATGTTATTACCAAAAAGAGCTTGTAAGACTGGACACCTCTATGAACTCTCCAAACACCTTTATATAAAGTCATACCTTTTGAAGGACTGTTAGTGTAGCCTGTGAGATGCGCAGGAGGTATCTTTGCCAATGACACCACATTGGTTATAATTGGTGTAGTATTCGTCTTTATTGAAGGAAGTGCCATTAAAGCAGTTTGTGCTTTAGGAATATTTACTGATTGAAATAAACAAAAAGGTAAACTTAGTACAAACAAAAGAATTACACACAAAAAAACTAACAACTCAGTATCAGAAGTGAGATATGATGAGGAGTAGGATAAAATAATACAGTGGGTAGGTTTCTTGCCTTAACATAACAACCCGGGTACAATCCCTGGCATCCCATATGGTCCCCCAAGCACCGCCAAGAGTGCAGAGCCAAGAATAACACTATTAAGAATGACTTCTGAGCACAGAGCCAGGAGTAAGCCCTAAGTAACACCAGTTGTGGCCCAAACACCAAAAGAAAAAGAGAACATTGGGCTGGAGAGATAGTATAGTTGGTAAGGCACTTAACTTTTTTTTAAGGGTGATATTTATTTGAAAACCGAATAATCTATTATCTTTTTTTTTTCTTTTTGGGTCACACCCAACAATGCTCAGGGATTATTCCTGGCTCTGCACTCAGGAATTACTCCTGGCAATGTTTGGGGGACCATAAGGGATGCCAGAGATTGAACCTGGGTTGGCCACGTGCAAGGCAAACGACCTACCTGCTATACTATCACTCCAGCCCCAAGGCACTTACTTTGAACAAGACCTTGATCCCCAGAATCATATATGGTCTCTCAAGCCCTACCAGGAATGATCCCTGAGCGCAAAGCCAGGTGAGGGGACTACCAGAGAACAATCAGTATGCAATTACTCACCAATAAAAAAACAGAATATACCATAAATGTACCTATTCATTTAGGTATTTTAACCACATTAGTTGTCCTATTTATGAATTTATTTTATTCTTAGTTAGGAACAACATTGTTATTCATAATACATGGTCTAGTTTTTTATATATAATCAATATAATTAAATGTATAATTAATGTGCTGTTTTTTTCTTGATTATAAGCTTTGGATCAAATCTTAGGCCAGTGACAGCAATTATATTAATATGTTTATATCATCTCCCAAGATTCATACTGACTTTTTTTTCTTTATTTTTTTGTTTTCTATCCTTACCGGTGGTGCTCAGGGCTTACTCCTGACTCTGTGCTCACGATCAGGGATCACTCCTAGTGGTACGTGGGCATCATATGAAGTACCAGGAATCAAACTCAACCAGCCATGTGCAAGGCAAATACCCTAACTACAGAACTATTGTCCTGGCCCCTGATTTTCTAATTTTGTTTGGGGGCACACCTGGCAGTACTCAGGGTTGATGCCTGGCTCTGTGCTCAGAGATCACACCTGACTGAGCTCAACCAAATGTGGTGTCAGGGATTGAACCTGGGTTGGCCATAAGCAAGGCAAGAGCCTTACCTGCTGTCCTACTGCTCCTATTACCTACTTTTAATTCGAATGAATTAACTAAGTAGTATATATTTGTTGGCAGAAGTTACTTATGTACAGATAAATTCAGTCAAAATCAATCAAAACTAATTTTCCTATAAAATCAGTGCACACATTTATTGATATTTTTGTGTTGGCTGTCATTGCTAAACAAATTATGTTTCACTGTAAGTTCTTAAAGTTGCCTCAAGGGCAAAGTTTAAGGATTCTTACACTTACTTTAAGGAATTTTACACACATATGAGGAAATTCAGACCACCTGAATCCATTTGATTTTATTATTTGACTACATGTGCTGACAGCAAATTCTAGCACTTAGAGATTTGCAAGTCAAATATTACCTTTATTTTGTGAAAGAGAGTCACTCGTAATTTGCTGATGACAAAACTGCAAGACACAAAACAGACTGCAGAAATGTTTGATGTTTCCTCGCCATTTTATAGACTCAGTTAGCTTTCCCTGCCGTTTGCAACCATCACATTTGGCCATCTGAGAAAGAAAGACAGAACAGGCTTACCACTTTTCATTATAGAATAATGAAAAAATAACAATCATAAAACCAGAGGTACTAAGGAAACAAGATAAATGTATCAGTTTTCATCATTTCATTTCATCATCCTGTTATTCGTCGATTGCCTCGAGCAGGCCCCAGTAACATCTCTTTCATCCTAGCCCTGAGATTATATTCAAGGCTCTTTAGGAGAATGAGACCCATCATTGTTACTGGTATTTGGCATATTTGGTACACCACGGGGAGTTTGCCAGACTCTGCCCTGTGGGCAGGCTACATTTGATAGCCTGCAAGTTTGTCCAAAGTAGGAATGAGATAATAAGATGTCATAAAAAGATGTCCTGATAAGATAAATGTATCAGTTGGGATCATAAAATGCTTCTACCTTATAATGTGGCTAAACAGGAGTTGGAGAGGCAGTACAGCAGGTAGGGAGCTTGCCCTGCATGCAGTCAACCCAAATGCAATGCCTAGTACCCAATATAATGTTCTGAGCCCCATCAGAAGTGATCCCTCAGCACAGAGCCAGGAGTAAGCACTGACTACCACTGGGTGTGACCCAAAAACAAAACTAAACTAAATGTAGCTAAATATACACAAGCGTAACTGTTTTATACAGATGTCATAAATCAAAAGAATATAAAAAGCTGAACTTCTGTTTCCAAATTTACTGACAAAGAAATCTTAAGACAAGCTTTCTAAAGGTGAAGAGACAACATTGTGGTTGAAAGAAGATGAACTTTGGAGTCATTGAGACTTTGATTCATCCATTGTCTTAGAACCTCACTGAAGTGTTACAGATGCTATCTGTCATCTACCAGCTTCCTCTGGGGCATATTACTTAACCTCTTGCACCTGAGTCTTTTCACTCAATTGCAAACTGGCAATAATGCATCTATCTCTTGCAACTGTCGGACAGAGGAAATAACACTTGGGAAGCTATGGACCTGTGTTGATGATTCAAGTCATTGTAGCTTTCCTTGTTAGCCTTTAGAAAAGTAAAATTTTTTAAAGGAGGTAGAAAAAGTGGTCAATCATTTGACCTAAGAAAGGAAAACCAGGTTTAATCCTCTAATTCCTCAGAGTAATGACCCTCTGAATAAGATAGCTACTTATAGGCAACATGAATACGTCAAGTTTTCACTTGAAAGAATTCAAAAATTATAAATAAGGTCAATGCGCCATATAAGAAAGGGAAAAAAGGGGGGGGGGGGAACCTAAACTAAAGGCACACATCCTCAACAACAACAACAAATTCTTCAGAAACCTATGAGACTTCGTGTTTATATACAACTGAATGTTGGTTTGGTTTTTTTTGTTTTTGTTTTTCTTTTTGGGTCATACTTAGCGATGCACAGGGGGTTACTCCTGGCTCTGCACTCAGGAATTACTCCTAGCAGTGCTCAGGGGACCATATGAAATGCTGGGAATTGAACCTGGGTTGACTGCATGCAAGGCAAACGCCCTATCTGCTGTGCTATCGCTCCAGCCCCCGAATGTTGTTTTCAGAAGCCCATAACATGCTTACTCAGTTCCAAATACCAAACTTTATCTTCACATAATTTTAAATCAAAATGTATAGAACTTTCAAAAATGCAAACAGGTATATCACATTTACCTGATAAAATAAAACTGTAAATTTGGACATGCAATCTTCACAACAAAACTCTTCTAACTTGCCCTCCAATCGATTTTCGACCAAATTAGGGGATGTCTGTGAACAGTAACTACACATCTTACAATAGTTTCCCCATCGTTCTCCAAAGTCACGGGCAGAAAGGAACTTGCAAACTAAACAAAATCATAAAAAAGAAACAATAAATTTACGTCAATCCTGTGAGTTTCTACAGTCTTATATACCTACTTTAAGCTAATTTCTCAATATCTGGCACAATAATTTGCCTCCAGGCTAAAATATGGTCTTCATATTCACAAAACAAATTCACATCACCTTTTAAATATATTTTAAATAGGATCAGACAGCCAGTACAGCAGGTAGTGCACTTGCCTTTCACATGACAGACCCAGTTCAATCCCTAGTACCCCATGTGATCCAGGAGTAAGCCCTTGAGTACCACTGAGTCCAGCCCTTCCCCCACAAGTTTTTTAAATAAAAATATATTTTGACATATTTTAATATTATTATACTTTACAATAATTATTCAGCTATCCATAACATCCAAATTCTAGAGGTTTCTTAAGCCAAAAAGCAGCAACTGCTTAAGTATTCTCTTTATATATGTGAGAACAAATGGATCTCTGAAGTCACAGGAAGAAACTGTCTATAGTCTATATTAATGACCTAATTATATTTTATTAGTTTTGCTTTAAAATTATGGTATTTAAAAAGATCGACTTTAAAGTGAATTACATATATTCTCAGTTTTGAAAAAAAAAAACCTTGAACCCAGAAAAGTATTCGGTGGCTTTGTATCTCTGAATGTCTGCCTTTTAAGCAGCAGGGCTTATTCAGTCCCTGGTGAAGTGACATGCACTGGGTGATCCTGGCAGCTTGGTAGATTGTGATCCCCAGCACTGCAAGCAATTTCCAGTTGCACTGCCCAACACCAGATGAGGATAAGCAGCACATCTTGAAGATGCTAGAGCACCACAGCCAGGAAGTAAGACCCCTAAGGAATACGTGTGGGAGCACCACACTGACCTGGGACAAGTGCTACAACAAGAATATACACAAACACCACAATTAAAGGGGCGTGACCCTTGGGGAGCACACTGGCCAATGGTGCAAGTATCACAACCTCATGTGTGACCCCTGGTGAGTACCACAATAACTCTTCAAGCACCAAAGCCAGACAAGTGTGAGATACTTGGTGATGACAACAATGAAGGGAAGTAGTGCGGGAAAAAACTCAAAATATTTCTCAAAATAAAATTTCACCTGACAGGGCCAGAGCCATAGTATAGCAGGAAAGGTGCTCACCTTGCACATGGACGACCTGGATTCAATCCCCAGCATCTCATATGGTTCCCCCAAGCAACACTAGGAATGATTCCTGAGTGTATACCCGGGAGTAACCCCTGAACATTGCTGTATATGGCACCCTACCCTCATAAAAATTATAAATGAATTAATAAAAAAAATCACTTAAAAGCAAAAATACAGTCAAATTCCTAATGAAAAGGTTTTTTTATACCAATCATATCCTTTGTAAGTAAATGTGAACTTTTTTCTTTACCTTCACTACAGAATGGCTTATCAACCCCTGAGAACCGTACTGTCTCCTTTATAATTTTCTGCAGTTTGCAGTAGTCACACATTGCCATAATTTTATTTTTCTTTTTGTATTCATCAGAACAAAGCTTGCCACAAAAGAGAAACATCTTATTCTGCAGAGAAAAAAGTTATTAAGAGATTATTAAAACATTGCTTTATCTCTAAGATACCTTTTTCCTTCTGATTTTGAGACAAACTGAGAGATTGTTGAAGATGAAAAGGCAAAAATGTTTCTCCTGGCAAAATTTACATTCAATCCTACTTTTATGGCCTCTCTTTACCTTGTAGAAAAGAAGTTCCGGTTTTGTGGCAAATAGATGGTTACAGTGTTGACACTTGAGTTTAATAAGTGTCTGTGTGGAAGCAACCTGCTGGGGTTGAGCAGCAAGAGGCTGGAAACTGGCTGCAGAAGAATCACTGATGGAGCTGGGAGGAACCACACAGGCTTTACCTCCTCCTGCGGATACTGCTGGCCCAGAGGGTGGACTTACAATCACTTTGCCCTGAGACTGGGGCACTGCTGAAGCATTTGGTCCTTTTGGCTTGCTAAATACATTCTGAACAAACACAAATAAGGTCAAGTTATTATTAATTGAGAAATAATATAACTTGGTACCCGTGACATATTTGATATGCCAAACACAGTAACAACGAGTCTCACAACAGAGACGTTACTGGGCCCGCTTGAGCAAATCAATGAACAACAGGAGGACAGTGGTACTGTGCTACTTTTCTCTTTGTAATACATTAATTCCCCCACTTGTATATAAAAAAAGAAGCAGGTCACGTAAGGAATTTAAAGGCATACTTCTAGAACAAAAAGACTAGAGAAATTCAGAATAGAAGGCATGAGGATGGCAACATTAAAAGTTTGAGGAGTAGCATTTAGGTTTTCCAGACCACCACCTACAGCATATTGTCTCTAATAAGTCACAGCTGCCTCTCCACTCCAAAAGAGCCCTTCAACTGCTCTTCCATTGCCAACCAGCCTGCAGCTATCAGAAGCACAACTGTCACCAAAGTCTCTCTTCCTGGTGCCCAGGACACTCGATCAGCCACCTTCCCAGCCTGATAGATTGCTAAACTCTACTGTTCCTCTGTGTAAAGTAGAGGATAGGAGAAAATGCGGTAAGTGGGGGCTTACAATTCCATACCGGGAGCCACTGTGTAACTGGATGAGGGTGAGAGGAAGAGAGCCAAACTACCCATCTAAACCATATCCTAGTTTCCATCCTTTCGAAAAGAAGGAAAACAAGAGAGAAAGAAAAGGGTAGGGTCCACCAAGTAAAGGGTGCTAGGAAGGCCCACTCGGGATGGGAGATGCAGGCTGAAAGTAGACTATAGACTGAACATGATGGCCACTTGATATCTCTACTGCAAACCACAACACCCAAAGGAGAGTGAGAGCAAAAGGGAACGCCCTGCCACAGACGCAGGATGAGGTGAAGGGATGTCGTGGGGGTGGAGGGAGGGATGCTGGGACCATTGGTAGAACAAAATGGGCACTGGTGGAGGGATGGGTACTTGACCACTGTATGGCTGAAATGCAAGCACGAAAGTTTGTAAGTCTGTAATTGTACCTCAAAGTGATTCACTAATAAAAAATTAAAAAATTTAAAAACATTGAAAAAAAATCTTTAAAGTTAGGGGAAAAAAAAAGTAGGATCATTTAGATCAGCATTTCTCAGCCAGGGACCATATGGCTCCTGGTAGACCCCTAGATTATTCCAAGGAGCTCACAGGTGGAAACCATCTAAATGGAGAACCATGGCACAAAACTAGGGGTAAGACAGAGGGGCGACAGGATGAAAACAAGGTCAGAAGGAGGAACCAGGGTGTGAAAAAGGTTGGGAAACACTGGTTTAGACAAAGATTTTGAAAAAGGAAGAAAACATTTTAAGACCCAAAATCTAGACTCTGACAATTTGCAGAAATGACCTCTGAGGACCATAAGCAAAACAGAATTTTTCCTTTTAATTAAAAAGTTTAGGGGCTAGCAAGATTAGTACCAGGAATTTTACTCCATGGCTTGCAGGCCAACCACACATGCTAGGGGAAAAGGGAGCTCAGAGAGAGAAGGGAACGCCAAATAAAGGTGTTGGAAGGATCCTCCCAGGATGGGAGAAGCATGCTGAAAGACTATAGACCAAACATGATTGTCACCCATTGCCTCTTTTGCAAACCACAACACCCAATAAGAGAGAGAGAACAAAAGGGAATGCCCTGCCACAGAGGCAGGGTAGGATGGGGGGGATGGGGGGTGGGAGAGATACTGGGGTCCGTGGTAGTGGGAAATGGGTACTGGTGGAGGGATGGGTATTTGATCATTGTATAATTGAAACCCAAGCACAAAAATTTTATAAGTCTGCAACTGTACCTCATGATGTCTCACTAATAAAAATTTTTTTAAAAAAATTTTTTTTAAATTTAGAGCTAGAGCAATAGTACAGTGAGTAGGGTGTTTGCCTTGCATGCAGCCAACCCGGGTTCGATTCCCAGCACCCCATATGGTCCCCTGAGCACTGCCAGGGGTAATTCCTGAGTACAGAGTCAGGAGTGACCCCTCGGCATCACTGGGTGTGACCCAAAAAGACAAAAATAAATAAGTAAAAGGTAAAGGTAAAGGCCCTCCCGTTGATCGTCGATTTGCTCGAGCGGGCCCAGTAACGTCTCCATTGGAGACTTTGTTGTTACTGTGTCTGGCATATTGAATACTCTCGGTAGCTTGCCGGGCTCTCCGAGAGGGGCGGAGGAATCGAACTCGAAATTTTAAAATTAAAAAATTTAATTTTTTCTTTTAATTTAAATTAGAATTTTACTTTTAATTTTTTTACTTTTAAATTTTAATTCTAAGTTTTTAATTTAAATTTTAAATTCTAATATTTTTATTTTAAATTTAAATTTTAAATTCTAATTTAAATTAGAATCTTTTCTTTTAATTTAAATTTTTATAAACATGAAACTTTAGGAGTTAATGCTTTGCCAAAGACCTATTCCTAAAAGAATTACAAGGATTAGAAAACTATCTTAGAGGCTAGAAAGATCATACAGTGGGAGGAGCACTTCCCTGGCATAAGGCAGACCAGTTCCCCTGGTACACCATATGACCCCCGAACCTCAGAGCCAGGAGTTAGTCCTGAGCACTGTTGGGTATGGCCCAAAACAAAAAACTACAACAACAACAAAGAAAACCCCAAAATACCTTAGATCATACCTGAAAAGCCACTACACAATTGGAACTACAGAAGCTGTACACCATTCCATTGGACATGGCGAGATGATACTGAGGAACTGCAGAAGTTTTACAACTATGACACGAAACTTGACCACCTTGGTTAAAAATAAATAAGTAAATGAATAAATAAGACATACATATGAATAACCAATTCAAAAATGCATTAAGAAAATGAAAAACATGCCCAGTAATACATAGAACAAAAATCAAGGAACTTGGGGCTAAAGAGATAGTACAGGGTTAAGACACTTGCCTTGAATATAGTCAACCCTAGTTTGATCTCCAGCACTACATATAGTCCCCCAAGTGGCACCAGGACTGATCCCTATACATCACCAGGTGTGGTCCAAAACTCTCTGCGTATCCCCAGCCCCATTAAAAAAAAAATCAAGAACTTTACTATAATCTGTAGAGCTATTACAACTAACGAAGTCCCATTTAACACAAAATGTCCTTAGAGAGCCAGGGAAATAGCACAAGCTAATGTTAAGGCATAAGTTTATTTTGGCGGGGGGGTTTGGGCCATACCCAGCAGTGCTCTGTTCAGGGATCACTCTTGGTGGGACTTGAGGGACCTGTGGTGCTGGGGATGGCATCTGGGTTGGTCGTGTGCAAGGCAAGCACCCTATCTGCTGTAGTATCACTCTGGCCCAAGTCTTTTTGTTGTACCGAACTCCAGTCAATGCCTGGCACACATGGTACTCCAAGCATTTCTAGGTGTGGCCTTGTGACCCAGTAGGCCCCCAAGCACTGCTGTGGTGACTCTAGTAGCCTTTATAATTCTGCATGGTTGGCTAGAATTTGCTGCAAATGATCTCTGCATCTTCTGAGCACTGCTTTGAAAGCAAAACAAAATCAAAAATTTACTTGAAACTAACATATAGAACATATAAGACTATGAAATAGTCAGTGATACAGTGCCTGCCCTGCATGTGTGAGGGCCTGGATTTGATCCCCAGCACTGACCAAAAAAGACTACTACAAAATAAATACTTCACCTAGAAAATCAGTGGAAGTTTCTTACAAATCAGTTATTTAAAGTGAAATCAAATTTGGGTTACTCCTGGCTCTGTACTCAGGAATCACTCCTGGTGGTGCTCAGGGGACCATATGAGATGCTGGGAATCAAACCCAGGTCGGCTGTGTGCAAGGCAAACGTCCTACCTGCTGTGCTATTGCTCCAGCCCTGTATAGTTAATAAACTTTCTAAATTAAACATTACCTGAAGAAATAACTGTCTTAACTCTGTAAGCAGATAAGCAGTTGACAGAGCAGAAAAGCTCTGTTTTGCCAGAGTCATTTGTCGTCTCAATCATTTCAGCTGAGGGTCTCAATGATTTCCCCAAGGCATATGGAGGAGTTTGGGCTGAATTCTAATAACGAAATTTTAAAAAGAATTTGAAATAAATAGCACAAGCATATAGACATATGTACATATTATTTAAGAAAAGATATAAAGAATCCTGATTTTTTTAAAAAGCTATCAATTGCCACTTTTAAAATATTTAAGCATGACAATGAGACACACCAAGTATAGGCTTTTAGAAAATTGAGATGTGAGAAAAATTAAATCTTTCATATAATAAAATGTAAACTGAAGAAAATTATTAAGCATTCAGGTATATTAGCAATAAGGAAAACATTCAAAGTAATGAATTAGGTAATCATATTTCTCTTATCACAAATAACCAGACAACAGGCCATTCTTAGTTTAGACTCAAATATAGGTCTATGAGAAAGTCTGCCACTTTTTGTTTTTAATGGTTTTGGGGGGCTTACCCTGCAGTGCTCAGGGCCTACTCCTGGCTCTGTGTTCAGGTTATCAGTCCTGGAAATGTTCAGGAGACCATATGCAATGGTGGGAATTGAACCTGGGTCAACTGTATGCAAAGTATTCAACCTTGCGCACTGTACTATCTTCAGCCACTTTGTTTTGACTCTTATGAAGAAATTTTAACTTTTAGAAAATTAGAAATTGGGGCCAGAGAGAGGGTATAGTGGGCAGGGTATCTGACTTGCTCACAGCTGACCCAGGTTCAATCCCCAGCTACCCATATGGTTCCCAAAGACCACCAGAAGTGATCCCTAAACATGGGGCCAAGAATATGCCCTGAGCACTTCTGTGTAAGGTACCCCAAAAAAACAAACGAACAAACAAAAAAAAATGTCATTTACCTAAGTCATCTTACTACCACAATCTATCCCTCTGGTATCAGAATCTATTCCACTTTTTGGAAAAGGGAACTCACACAAGAGGATTAACTAATAAGAACTTATTCTTTTATTTTATTTCTATCCCAGTGCATACTCTAACCTCTGTACACCAGACCAAACTTCTTACCTGCTTATATGCTGTGACACTTGTTGAACTAAAAACCTTCTGCGATTGGGCAGGACCAGAGCTACTATAGCAATAGCTTCCACAGTTCTCACAACACTTCATGGTAAGGTTGTTGGTAGAGTGAAATTTTGAAAAGCAGGCATCACTACAGAGACTGTGTACCACATTTTGATATTTAACTTCAAATCGAATCTAGGAAATAGAACACACACAGAGAGAATAAGGAGAGTCAGTTTAAAAAATCTCCAGTCTTTTAGCAAAATCCCAATAAAGGTAAGATGGAACTTACATCAGCATTCTTTTGACACATACTGCATTTAGTCAAGCTGCCATTGGTATATATGGTAACAACAGGCTTTTTCTTTAACTGATAAGAAGAAAGGCATGATTTGCTACAGAAATCTTTGCTAGCAGAGGAATTTTCAAATTGAATCGTGATCACATCCTTTGGATTTAAAATGTTTCTAAAAATAAACAACAAAGGCAGAATGAAACATGCTCTTCTTAACTGTAATTTCTTCCCTGCCTTGTGAACTAAAATAACTACATTTAATAAGAACAGTTATTGTGTAGCAAAAATGACAGGACTCAAATGAGGCATTTGAAAACCTGGGTTTGATAATTAGTTGTTACTTACCAGTTAAATAACAACTGATTGTTAAAATTACTGTCTCAATTTTCTCATGTACATAATTGCATTTCTAATATCTAACTTATAGATGCACTGAGAAAGAATTATATATATATACATATATATCTCTTTTTTATATATATACATATATACGTTATATATATATATATATATATATATATATATATATAATCAGATGCTCATGATAAAAACAGTGAGGCTTCTAACTCTAACCAAGTTTCATCCACTGGTACCAGCAGAGGGACAAAGCCATGCGGGTTCCGGGGCCGAGATCTCCAAGCCTACTCGGATTGGGGCTGAGCATCCTCCACCCAGATCCTCCAAATTCCAGTAGGCGGGGGTCACACCCACCAACTGGCCCCCTGGCGCCGTGTAATCCCATCAACGGCCAAGATTCAGAGATTATAAAACCCAGCTCCCAGAAGCGCGACATCTTATCATCTCATTCCTACTTTAGACAAACTGGCAGGCTACCGAATGTAACCTGCCCACACGGCAGAGTCTGGCAAACTCCCCGTGGCGTATCCAATATGCCAAATACCAGTAACAATGAAGGGTCTCATTCTCCTAACTCTGAAAGAGCCTTGAATATGGCGCTTTCTAAAAAAAAAAAAAAAAAAACTCAGGGCTAGGATGAAGAGACGTTATTGGGGCCTGCTCGAGGCAATCGACGAATAACAGGATGGTTGTGATTGATTGTGATTGGTACCAATGTAGTAAACAGATATCCCATAACTCCAGGCTATAAAACACACAAACTATGAAATACTTGATAGTTAGTGACTATCAAGAAAGTCAAGAATGAGGACTGGAGAGATAATTCAGCAGGTAAGACACTTTCCTTGCATGCAGCAGATCCGGTTCAATCCCCAGCACCCCATATGGTCCCCCCAAGCCCTCCCAAGCCCTCAGGGTGTGATCCCTGAGCACAGAGCCAGGAGAAAGCCCTGAGCACTGCTGGGTGTGACCTCTTCCCCACAAAAAAAATGTTAAGAATGAGACAAGGAGCACTAATATTTATTTTGTTTCTGTTTTTGATTTTTTGGGGCCACACCTGTGGTGCTCAGCACTTACTCCTGGCTCCAAGCTCAGGAACCACTCCTGGCAGTGTTCGGGGGATCACATGGAGTGCCAGGGGTTGAACCAAGGTCAGCTATGTGCAAAGCAAGTGCCCTACCCATAGCACCCTTCAGTCTGTGCCTTACTATCACTCCAGTCCCTTTAATTTAAATACAAGCTCATTTATTTTGGATAAATATGAACTGAGTATCAATACAAAAATTGACAAAATACATAAAATAAAGCCATACATGAAGAAATCAAAGAAAAAAAGGATTAGTAACTCTTAGACTCAAGACAGAAACAGAAATGAAACAGAAAACAACATTAATAATCGTATGTATGGTATTACTATTATTCTATGTATGGTATTACTAGGGTCATTGTGTAAGAGGTAATTGTTAAAGTAAACGCTGACGGAAGAAATAGATACTAAGCATGGCATATCTTCTAAAAAGAATAAAAACTGAAGGAAAAATTCATTAACTTCAAATATAAATGCAGTATCTGGGGATGTGACTCAGTGTACATGTATGAGGTGTCAAGCTGGAGCTCAGCAGAACTTCATGTCCTCACGAGTGATTACTGGCTCCACTATGTGCATGACTACGGGAGCACGATAACTAAGTGTGTGTGAGAACAGCAATTGTGTGTGTAAACCCCTAGTGTACTATAAAATGAGGGAAGGGAAGTCTTTTCATTATACAAAAAATAAATTAATTGGGCTGGAGAGAGCATAGCAGGTAGGTACTTGCCTTGTACAGGGCTAACCCAAGTTCAATCCCCAATATCCCATATGGTTCCTCCCCGCACCACCAGCAGTAATTCCTGAGTGCAGAGCCAGTAATAACGTGCTGGGCTGAGGCCCAAAAAACAAGTTAATTTTATTTTTTTAATGAAGGGGCAAGAGGAATAATACAGCAGGTGGGGCACTTGTCTTACACATGGCTAACCCAATTTCAATCACAAGCACTCCACAAAGTCCTCTGAGCTCCTCCAGGCGTGAACCCTGAGCATCACTAGGGTACTCAAAAAACAAAAAACAAACGAAAAGGTGATCTTTGTATCAAAAACAGCAATAAGAAAATTTAACAAATGAACTCTTCCACAGCATAATGTACATATAAATTAACTAGTGAGAATGACTTTGTATTATCTGTATAAATAAATACTAGCACATTACAATGATGAATGGGTTTTATGGTTTGGTTGGGGCTATATCTGGCAGTGCTCAGGGACTGCTCCCAACGGTGCTTAGGGGACCATATGGTACCAGAGAGAAAACCTGGGTGTCCCACTTGCAAAGAGCATGCACTGCTGGAATGCCCCACCCCCTTATTTTTTGGTCATGATCTAAAATCAAACCTTTTTTTTTTTTTGCTACACAGTAGTGATCACTGCATAAATATTAAATTCCTAAAATAACTCTATCATAGAAATAGGCTAAAGGTAAAGGTAAAGGTAAAGGCCCTCCCGTTGATCGTCGATTTGCTCGAGCGGGCCCAGTAACGTCTCCATTGGAGACTTTGTTGTTACTGTGTCTGGCATATCGAATACTCTCGGTAGCTTGCCGGGCTCTCCGAGAGGGGCGGAGGAATCGAACTCGGGTCGGCCATGTTGGCCGCTTGTAAGGCGAACGCCCTACCCGCTGTGCTATCGCTCCAGCCCCATAGAAATAGGCTAGACATGCCAAATTCTTCAAACTTACTAAATGGGGGGAAGGGTGTTTGACCACACCTAGGTATGCTTAGAGGCTACTCCTGGCTCTGTGCTCAGGAGTGATCCCTAGTAATGAGTCCATGAGGACCACGTGGTGCTAGGGAACAAACCGGTCAGCAGCATGTAAGGCACGTACCTAATCTCTATACCACCAACTCATCCACCCCGAAATTTTAATAGAAACTATATTTAGATACCTAAACACATTAGATGATGAAACTATTATAGAATACATTTGAAAATTCAAAAGAGGCCTCTTAATCATGTTTTATATATTAATTTTATTATCAATATTAAGATCCCAGTTATTTAGTACATGCTATATGCTACACCCTGTGCAAAATCTACATTAAATTCCAAAGAAAGGAAAAATAATTTGCCAGTGCAGAAAGTGAAGCTTAGAAACTAAGTTAATTATCTTGTTAGTCCAAAGTCACAGTACAGTGATAAAGTCAGGATCTAAAATCAAACTCTTTTTTGCTATGCAGTAGTGATTACTGCATAGATAATATATTCCTAAAATTATTCTATCGTAGGAATAGGCTAAACATGCTAAATTCTTCACACTTAACGAAGGTAGCAAGAAATGTTTTGAGGTCTATTGCTGTTTTAAGTCTATTCCTATTTTCACAACACATTACACTAAAGCAACAAAGACCTCTGACAAAAGCTCACAAGCTTATTTTATAAACACATTGCTTTTGTAGATAAATTACCTTCTAAAGAATTAGGACGCTGGAGCTATAATACAGAGGTTTACCTTGCATGCCACAGACCCGGGTTTGATCCCCAGCATCCCAAATGGTCCCCTGAGCACATCCAGGAATAATTTCTGAGTGTAAAGCCAGGAGTAACCGTTGAGCATCACCAAGTACAAAGCAAAACACACACACACACACACACACACACACACACCAAAAAAAAATTACATAAGGTCCAGAGCAAATTGGGTCCATAGTACAGTGGGTAAAGGTATTTATTTGCCTTGCACAAGGCCAATTCAGATTTGATCCCCAGAATCCCATATGGTTCCCTGAGCAGTGGCAGGAGTGATCCCTGAGAACAGAGCCAGGAATAAGCCCTGAGCACCATCAGGTGTGGCAAAAAAAAAAAAAACTAAAATATTAAATAACTTTCAAATACTCTTCTAAGAGTAATGTTATTTTAGTTTATACTGCACTCACTTTTTCACTTCTAAGATAACAAATAATTTTAAATGATTGTTATCTACAATTACAGGATAGAAGAATGATCATACAGTTCCCCAAAATGGTTTCTTTCCAAAATTTCTACAGAAAATTTTAAATGGAAAGAGATACAAAAACTTCTTTAAGCAATACTCAAATTCTCAAAGTTCTTAATTAGCTAAAAAGCTATTCAACAGATAGGTGCTAAAAAGATTTACAGGAGCAACAGCACATGTCAACTATACAGACTGTAGTACTCTAGTTAAATATATAATATATTAACTATATTTACCATATACAAAAACTATGTGTAAAAAAGGAATAAAATTAATATCCTACTTCAAACAATTGGTGCAGGTTTTCTTGGGAGGAGGTGGTAGGCTGACAGGTAAAGGCAATCCCGTGATGCACTGTGTAGAACAAAAGAGTTGTGTAGATCCTGTCTTGTGATATGCAGTCTGTCCCTTATAAAGCATTTTTTTACAACCCGAACAAAAAACCTGAAGGGCCACAGCTGGAACTGAAGGTAGAAATGCATTTGGGGCAGATGACGCAACAGGAAACTGAAAGACTGGGGTCAACTTTTGGGCTATAATACAAAAAAAAAAAAAAAAAAGAAAAAAATTAGAATCAGTAGGAATACATATACATTCTCTCTTTATTAGCACAAATTTCATCAGTCTTGACATTTAGTATTAATAAGGCAATAAGGGTCCAGAGTCATAGTAAAGCAGGTAAGGTTCTTGTCTTGTAGCCAGCTAAACTGGTTCAACCCTGACATTCATATGGTCCCCTGAGCCCACCAGGAATGATCCCTAAGTGCAGAGTGAGAAGTAAGCCCTGAACAAAACTGGGTATGGCAGCAAAACCAAAACTAAATAAAGGGGATAAGTATTCCAGAAATGTCAAATGTTTGTAACCATGATCTGAAACAAGAATCATATCTCACACTATGACTCATGTCATACATATATATATTTGTATAGATAGACAGATATAGATATAGATATAGATGTATAGATATAATTTAAAACAAAGTTTTTTTAGGAAGTAATGTTACGTTTCCTCACATATTTCACATGGATCTTATTCAATTTCACGTTTTTAGGTACTGTTTAGGGTTCAGTGAGCTAGCTAAAGTGGTAGAGCATAGGCAAAGTATGTGTTCAATCCCCAGCACTGCATGGACCCCTAAACACTGCAAGATGTAACCCTCGCAAGCCTCTAAGATCCACGAGGCCACAGAATTGAGCGTCACTAGAGTTGCACAGGGCCACCAGCACTGCTGGGTATGGCCTCTAGTAAAATACAACTATAAAATGCTCATCGAGACCAGCTGCTCACACTTTGAAAAGCCAAGCTTTATCTAAAGAAAGGGAAACACATTAACAATGTACTTTCCTTTGACTCTATTAGTCAAAATATAACCAATAGTAACTGTACTTACATAGTTCTATTTTCTTACCAAGTGAATTGTCACTCACTGAAAACACAGCACTGATTTTTAGTTCACTCTCCTGAGTTTTTGGTTTTATGGATTCTCCATATTCCTTAAAGGAAAAAGAGAGCAAGAGAGTCAGAGAGAGAGAAAGACAGAGGGGGGGGTGGGGAGAGAGAGGTAGAGAGAGAGAGAGAGAGAGAGAGAGAGAGAGAGAGAGTCATAGCAAAATAACTAGAAACATTAAGTTGGGGAGGGGTTAGGACCATCCAAGAAGTTGTAGTGGGTGTAAGGGGTGGGGGGCAATTTCTGTTTGCATAAAAAAGGTAGATATCCTGAGAACCATGGAATCATGAGTGCTCCCCCCAGCGCCCCCCCAACCCACCCCGGAAAAGGGTGGCAGCCCTCTGTACATTGTAAATTTTAGCAGAGAGGTATTTACTTGATACTTTTGTTTGTTTCAAAAAATGCTAATGTTTCAAGGTGAATAGGCTATAGTTTTTCATGATTAATTGCATGGAATCTGGGACACAGGTAGATGGATCAAAGGGCTTGTGTACATACTTTGCATGAGGCAGCCCAGTTCATGATCCTCTGAGCATGGCTGTTAAAGTGGCCCTCACCTCCCCATCAAAGTACTAAGATATGTCATTACAGAAGCCAAAGAGAGTGGGCTATGATGTCTTAAAAAGCCAGTTGAACAAATTGTGCTATTTTACATTTGAACATGAACATTGGAATATAGACAAGCACTAAAAAAATGCTAATATTTTCAGATATATAAAGAACCTCTTCTGGTAGATTCACAGTCTCATTAGTTCATTAGTTCAGAAAGCTTTTACTTCTGTTTACTGTAATTCATAGCACTTGTTGAACACCTGTAAACAGTTTGCATAATGAATCCTTTTGCTGTTCCAAACCCTAAGAGTTAAGTATTATCTTTTTTTACACATGGACAGGCTGAGACATGTAACTTGTTAAAGGTAACAAAATAAATAGTTGAGTGAGGATTTCATCCCAAGCAGCTCGGTTTAAGAACCCACATTTTTTTTGGTTTTGTTTTTAGGTCATACCCAGTGAGATTCAGGCCTTGTTACTGGTTCAGTGCGGTGCACAGGGATCACTCTTGGTGGTGCTTGGGGGCACCATATGTGGTGCTGACGATCAGGCTAGAGTTGGATGGGTGCATGGCAAGTTTCTTCTTTCTCTCAGACCCAGGAACCCAAACTCTCTTTGTTTTTTATTTTTGAACCACACCTACAGTGCTCAGGGCTAACTTGAGCAAGAGTAATTCTTCTGTCTCTTTCACAAACTAATTCTAAGGACACCCACAGACACATCAAAAGCCAAAATTTATAGCTGGGGAATGCCAACAGTGCAACACTGTATGAGATTTTTGGCACACTACAACCAAGTGTTTAAGCATTGTAATTTTTAAAAAGTACAGCCTCTGGTGACCACCAATGAGCTTCACAATCAAAGGAGCTAGAGCACTTCAACTAAGTATGTAAGTACCATGCCAAAGGTACCATCTCCCACATTGGAAAACAAAGAAAATTGCCCATGGGATCTTCGTCATCACTATTTTTATATTGAAAAAGGAACTTGAAAAAAGGGGCAAGAGTGATAGTATAGCACATAGGATGCTTGCCTTTCCTGTAGCCAACCTGAGTTTGATCCCTGGCACCCCATTTGGTCCCCTGAGCCCTCTAGGAGTGATCCTTGAGCACAGAGACAGGAGTAAGTCCCAAGCACCACCAGGTGTGGCCCAAAAACCAAAACCAAACAACAACAATAAAACCCAAAACCATTAACTCATAGCATAGTGCTATGAGCATACTCATAGTTTTTAAGTTTATATTGGACCTCTAATTTAAGAAGCTGGTTTTATATCATACTGCTACTGTTACCATCGGATTAGTGAAATTATGAAGTCACTTATCCTTCAGGTTCAGTTTTCTTATCTGTAAAACAAAAGCTCTTGTTTTTTGTTGCGCTATATTTTTTAGTTTTGGGGTCACACCTGGTGAGGCTCAGGGTACTCCTGGCAATGCTGGGGACCATATAAAATGCTAGAAATCAAATCCAGGTTGGCTGCATGCAAGGCAAGCACCCAATCCACTATACATTCTTTCCAGCCCGAACAAAGGCTTTTTTTTTTTTTAACAAAAGCTTTTTAAATTCCAATTATTAAGCATGTACTTAAAGACAGTCACTGTCAGGAATTGAGGATTCAGACCACACTCTGTATGAAAACAAAATTCACTGCCTGATAGTTACCTTGTAAAAGTGAAAGTACTACCATTTCAACAAGGGGGGGGAAGAGAAGAATGATTTGTTCTTATCTCCAAGTGGCAGAAAGTTAAACTTTATCTTAAAAAAAAAAAAATGAAGTGGAGGGACACACCCAGCAGTGATCAGGGATCACTCCTGGAGGGGATCAGGGGACCATATTGAATGCCAGGGATTGAACCTGGGTCAACCATGTGCAAGGCAAGTGCCCCACTCTCCAGCCCAAAAGAGAAAATTTCTGCCAAGCTAACTTGTTTAGGATATCACAAAGAAAAGAAATGAAGTATTGCATGGTCAGGGAGCTGGTTCAAGAGGCTGGAGCACATGCTTTGAATGCTGGAGAGCTGAGATTGACTGCCAGCACCACCGGAGTACCCCCTTCCAAAATAAATGATAAATGCAATGGAAATACTTAACTCTGCAGAGTATATAGGTAGCAAAATGCAAACAGATTATAGGAGGATAGATTTTAAAACTGCAATTTAGATTTTAGTGGGAAAGATTACTATAATACTGAAGAGGAAAATAAAAGTCAAAATGTCGGTAGTTTGAGTGTCACATTAAAGGTTATGCTTTATTATGTGAGAGTAGGTCAGATCTTTATATTTTAGAGAAGAAGCACATCCGGCAATGTTGGAGAACCATGCAGTGCCAAGGAACTCAGGACTCCCATACGCCAAGCATGTGCTCTCATCCTTTGGGCTATCTTCCTTGCCAAAAAACAGGATCTTTATAGGAATAAAATCATCAGATATAGGGGTCAGAGTAATAATACAATGGGTAACATGTTTGCCTTGCCTGTGGACAATCCCAGTATGATCCCTAACACTCTATATGGTCCCCCAGGTCTGCCAAGAGGTGATCCCTGAGTGCAGAATCAGGAATAAGCTCTAAATTAGCTTATAATTAGCTAAATAAGCCATAAATAAGCCGCCATGTATTGCTCAAAAACAAACAAACAAAATCATCAGATTGATAGAGTATACAAACACCATTATAGAGCGTTTCAGTGAGGCAACTGAAGGCAAGAGGATGTGTAGGAAATCATTCTCAAAGTACAAATGAGAAATAATAAAAGCAGGAGAAAAAGAATTTTCATAGAAGAAAATATTTAAAAGGTAACACCCACAGAATATAGCAAACAAATAATTATTTTGAAAGAGGTAAGAAGTCATATAGAACTGAAAACTGAAGAAAGGTCAGGCAGGTCTCACATCAAAGGCTCTGGATTGATCTCAGGAGAGCCATTCTGCTCTGCACATCAGGAGTGAACCCCACCCTTGAAGAGCCTGGGATACTCACAAATGACTCTCGGAAGAGAGCAGCATGCTGAAGAGATGACTCCCTACCCTGTGCCAGGCTGATTACATCCGGGCACCTCGGAGGGGGTCAGGTGTGGACCACCCCCCCCCCGCCATCCCCAAAAGAACCCCAGCAGTCACAAACCTCTAGATCCCAATCTCCACCACACTCACAGCCAACCTTCACAAGCTCAATTTGAGCCCTCTCACCCCATTCATGAAAATGAATTCAATGAAAAACCCAGGTATGTGGAACTTATGAGTGAAATCTCCAGGTTTCACAGAGTCAGGAATGGGCCATTCCTCCCAGCTCTTCTGGTTTCCTGGCAGTCACACTACAATCTGCCCCTAGGCACCATTTATGCGCATTAACGGTCATGATCCAGAGACTCACAAATGAATCTCCAAAGAGAGCAGCATGCTGCAATGATGGCTCTGGACTCAAAATATTTAAAATTTTAGAATTCCAGAAGCACACAGCCGCTTTTGCAGCTGTGCAATATCTCATACTATTCATAACAAGCAATACAAAATAAATTATTTAGCATCTGCTCGTGAGACAGACTTGGGTAGTGGTGAAAAAATTCGAAATAATGGTGGTGGGAAGGTGTAATGGTGGCGTAATGAGCATTGAAATATTGAATGTAACTGAATTACATATTCAATAAATATTGAATTAGGGCAACTGAGTCAAGAAAGCAGATGCCCAGGAGTAGATATTATTTGGAGTCAATCAACTCCCAAGTTGCAAAGCATAATATTAACTGTCTTCCTGTGTCCATACAGAAAGAACATTGCTTAAAGGTAAACTATGCAAAAGACATAACTTATAATACAAGTTCAATACAATACAATACAAGTCCTTAGAAGGATCTGGTCTTACAAGCTAACAGAATCTGATTAGGGAGAAAAGGTGATTAACTGGCTGGGTAGGAGAGCACAGAGAAGAGTTTAGAGATAAACAAGGAATGGGAGCGACTTAGGAGCACTGTGATGGGTGTAACCCAATAAACCTAAGCTCTCTGTGGCAAGGGAGAAAGGACAAACCAATGTTTTCCTACAGATTACTGGAAACAAATGAAAATGAGGATATGAGCTACCAGAACTTGTGGGACAAGCAAAAGCAGTGTTAAAAGGAAAGTTTATGTTAAGAGGAAAGCTCTGCAACTATTCATCAAAAGAAAGGGCCCACATAAATAACTTAATTTCACAGCTTAGGATCTTGGAAAAAGGAAAAAGATCCCCCCCCAAAAAAAAGCCCAAACCAAGAAGGAGTAAGGATATAATAAAACCTATACAGAATTTATTGAACTGGAATCCCAAAAAGCAAGTCAAAACATCAATGAAACCAAGGGCTGATTATTTGAGAAAATAAACAAGATCCATCAACTACTCGCAAGACTCAAAAAAAGAGAAAGAGAGAAACCTAATAAATGAAATCAGAAAGGAAAGGACATCACAACAGAAACCACAAAAATTCAAAGGATCATCAGAGATTATTTTGAGAATCTTTATGCTA